ATGGAAGGAGGGAGGGAGGTGGAAAGAGGGAGGGAGGAAGATGGAAGGAGGGAGGGAGAGAGGGAGGTGGAGGGAGGGAGGGAGGTGGAAAGAGGGAGGGAGGGAGGTGGAAAGAGGGAGGGAGGGAGGTGGAAAGAGGGAGGGAGGGAGGGAGATGGAAAGATGGAGGGAGGGAGATGGATAGAGGGAGGGAGGGAGATGGAAAGAGGGAGGGAAAGAGAAGGAGAGTGCAGAGAGAAAGAAAAGAAAACAAATAAACAAAAAGAGAATGAGAAAAATGAAAACTCATATCATTCCTTCTCTCTCGCCTTCAGTGTATCGCTGCTATCTCCCCCTCCCCCTTCCCTCGCGGCCCCCCCCCTCCCCTCCCTCCGATGTGTCTCCCGGGGTTCTTCTTTGAACAATCCTCTTATTCTGACATGGCCGTACGTATCTGCGGGTATTTCACCTCATTCGGGGAATCAAAGGCTTCTCAAAGTCCGTGAAGAAAAAAGCGGGCGTTTTATCTCCCCGCGAGTCTTGCCGGTGTTCTCAGAAGAGGCGCCGTTGTTTGTGCTCCTCCTCCTTTCCTCCTCTTGCTCCTTTCTTCCTCCTCCTTTCCTCCTCTTGCTCCTTTCTTCCTCCTCCTTTCCTCCTCTTGCTCCTTTCTTCCTCCTCCTTTCCTCCTCTTGCTCCTTTCTTCCTCCTCCTTCCTCCTCTTGTTCCTTTCTTCCTCCTCCTTTCTCCTCTTGCTCCTTTCTTCCTCCTCCTTTCCTCCTCTTGTTCCTTTCTTTCCTCCTCCTTTCCTCCTCTTGCTCCTTTCTTCCTCCTCCTTTCCTCCTCTTGCTCCTTTCTTCCTCCTCCTTTCCTCCTCTTGTTCCTTTCTTCCTCCTCCTTTCCTCCTCTTGCTCCTTTCTTCCTCCTCCTTTCCTCCTCTTGCTCCTTTCTTCTCCTCCTTTCCTCCTCTTGCTCCTTTCTTCCTCCTCCTTTCCTCCTCTTGCTCCTTTCTTCCTCCTCCTTTCCTCCTCTTGCTCCTTTCTTCCTCCTCCTTTCCTCCTCTTGTTCCTTTCTTCCTCCTCCTTTCCTCCTCTTGCTCCTTTCTTCCCCCTCCTTTCCTGCTCTTGCTCCTTTCTTCTTCTTGCTCCTTTCTTCCTCCTCCTTTCCTCTTCTTGCTCCTTTCTTCCTCTTCCTTTCCTCCTCTTGTTCCTTTCTTCCTCCTCCTTTCCTCCTCTTGCTCCTTTCTTCTTCTTGTTCCTTTCTTCGTCCTCCTTTTCTCCTCTTGCTCCTTTCTTCTTCTTGTTCCTTTCTTCCTCCTCCTTTTCTCCTCTTCCTCCTCCTCTTTTTATCGTTTTCCTCCTCCTCCTTTTCCTCCTCGCTTTCCTCCCCCTTCTCCTTCCCCTACTCCTTTCCTCACGTTCCTCTTCTTTTTTCCTTCCTCTTCCTACTCCTCCTGCCTGCTTTTTTCCCTCCTCCTTTCCTTCTCCTATTTCATTCTTCTTCCTACTCCTCCTGCCTGCTTCTTTCCTCCTCCTCCTCCTCCTCCTCCTCCTTTTCCCTCTTCCTCCTTATCCTACTTGTTCCTCCTTCTTTACTTCTCTTCCTCATTTCCTCCCCCTTCGCCTCCTCTTCCTCTTCCTCCTTCTCTCCTACTCCTATTCTCCTCCTCCTCTGCCTCCTCTTCTATCACCATCACCACTCGTTCTCAACTCTTCCCAGTTCCGCTTTATCCCCCCCTTCCCCTGTTCCTATACCCTTTCCATTCCCCGTACTTCTCTAATTCCCACTTCCCTCCTCCTCCTCCTCCTCCTCCTCCTCCTCCTCCTCCTCTCCCTCCTCCTCCTCCTCCTCCTCCTCCTCCTCCTCCTCCTCCTCCTCCTCCTCCTCCTCCAGCTCTTTCTCCTCCTCCTCCTTCTTCTCCTCCTCCTCCCCCTCCTCCTCCTCCTCTTCCTCCTCCTCCTCCTCCTCCCCCTCCTCCTCCTCCTCCTCCTCCTTCTCCTCCTCCTCCTCCTCCTCCTCCTCTTCCTCCTCCTCCTCCTTCTCCCCCTCCTCCTTCTCTACTGCTCCTCCTGCTCCTCCTCTTCCTCCTCCTCCTCCTCCTCCTCTTCCTCCTCCTCTCCCTCTTCCTCCTCCCCCTCCTCCTCCTCTCCCTCCTCCTCCTCCTCCTCTCCCTCTTCCCCCTCCTCCTCCTCCCTCCTCCTCCTCCTCCCTCCTCCTCCTCCTCCTCCTCCTCCTCCTCCTCCACCTCCTCCTCTCCCTCTTCCTCCTCCCCCTCCTCCTCCTCCTCCTCCTCCTCCTCCTCCTCTCCCTCTTCCTCCTCCCCCTCCTCCTCCTCCTCCTCCTCCTCTCCCTCTTCCCCCTCCTCCTCCTCCCTCCTCCTCCTCCTCCCTCCTCCTCCTCCTCCTCCTCCTCCTCCTCCTCCTCCACCTCCTCCTCTCCCTCTTCCTCCTCCCCCCCCCCTCCTCCTCCTCCTCCTCCTCCTCCTCCTCTCCCTCTTCCTCCTCCCCCTCCTCCTCCTCCACCTCCTCCTCTCCCTCTTCCTCCTCCCCCTCCTCCTCCTCCTCCTCCTCCTCCTCCCCCTCCCCTCCACCTCTTCCTCCTCCTCCTCCTC